ATTTTTAAATATCAGATCGAATGCTTCGGAAGTCACATGACCCGACACTTCGTTTTCCGCTTGGCTAGGGTTCTAATTGTATGTTATCCAGAGATATCGTTATAAACTATTAGACTAATTAGACTACGTAGAATAAATACAGAAATAGTTAAACAATTTCTACGTAGAATGGGGGAGTTTGTTTACTATCATAGCAGATAGTGTAGCATTATATGATTGGCCACTATGTAAGATTTTTAAAATTTTGTCGCAATTTGTTTAAAAAAAATTTTATAGTAGTAAAAACTATGTATTTTTAAAATGTTATAACTTCCTAATAAAGTAAATTCGATTCTATAACTTGCAAATGATATAAAATAGTGTTGTTTTAAAACTATAATGCCATGTTTAATATTTATATATTAATTTTAATAGGTCTCTATAATATAATTGTTTAAATAATATCTTTAAACCGTTCTAACTCCCGCTCTAGTAGAGCAAATTTAATTCTATAACGTGTAAATGGCGTATAAATAGCTTGCTTTTCAAACTATGTTGCAATATTTAATATTAATATGTAAATTTTAGTAATTCTCTATAATTTAATCGTTTAAATAATTGTTATTATTCTATGCTTTACTATGGTCAGTCTATAAAATAAATCATTTTATGGTATTTTTACGCGATAAAATTATTGATCGTATTTCATAAACTGAGATAGTAAATCATTTAATAAAACCGTTATTGCATACTTCGCATGCAATAATTATATAAAATTTGCTAATTCGTAATTTTAGCCAAATTAATAAAATGAAATAATAAATATCTCAACATAGTTTTAAAAGTACAATATTTATATATCATTTACAAGTTACATAATTGAATTTGCTCTACTAGAACGAGAGTTAGAACATTTTAAAAATATACCGTTTTTATTATAAAATTACTACGATAAATTCTTATCAAAATCTTAATAGTGGGTCAATCATATAGTGCTGTCCTATGATAGTAAATCATTTAGTATCTAACATCCCAGTAAAACATAAGGTAAATGTGGGTATTTTGACGAAGCTAACGATTCTTACTAATAAAAGTTTGTCAAAAACTTAAAGTTTTATTTTTTTGTTTTTGAACTATGTATGTTTGAGTCTGCTCTACAATATAAAAAAAAAAAAAAAAAACTCAAGTTTTTATGAACTGTGTCCAAACATATTTTTGGCCGGCCAAAAATGGCCAATTCGGCAAATTCATGTTTTTTGGCCGAAAAGGCCAAGAAATTTGGTTTGGCCGGTAAAATTGCCAACACTGGACGAATGCGATGATCATTAACATTAATAATATTTTACGTATAAAAACTTTTTTACTAAGTAAAATTGAAACTCATTTACTGTAAAATTGTTCGAAATACGTACGTACGTACGTACTATTTTTTTTTATTTATCCTCAAATTTTGGCGCAATATTAATACCTTTTTACTAATAGGTTTTTTTCGTTATACGTTTCGGCGCAGTAAATTGATTTTCTGCGTAGAAAAAACCTATTAGTAATAAGTTATTAATAGTGCGCCAAAATTTGAGGATAAGTAAAAGATGGTTTATTGTATTATGTTAATTCGTCAAAATGTCCACATTCGTCAAAAATATCCACATTTACCTTACACATTATTTCCAAAGAAGCTCGTTATAGTAAGCTTCTACCGTAATTGGATTTACAGTATAACTGAATCTGTCATCCGTGAACCAATAAATAATTCGAACGAAGCTATAAAAGATCGTAAAGTTCTAAAAATGTAATCACGAGTTAAATAACGGAAATAATCAGTAGTATGCCCAAATACAGCTCATTCTTGTTATAGTGAACTCTTGATATAATGAAAAATTTTAGATTACAGAATTATTAAAATATATATAATATTCTCTCGATATAAGTTGTAGTGAAGATTTTTTTCCAGCCTGGGAACTTCACTACAACGTAAGTGAGTTGTAATCGTTTGTTTACCGTTATTTCTACACATCAGGCCACATTTATTTTTGTCGAATAACAAATGAATGAAAAGAAAAAAAAATCGTATACAGTTAACTTATAATGAACTAATAGTTTTTATACGTAGCCAAAACTTTTAACAGTTTCTTATAAAGTAATTTACTATGTTCCTATATTGAACTCTAATGAACATTTTTAATGAAAGTTCATAATAGAGTGGATAAACTTTTCGCTATATAAACTGTTAACATTGCATAGCGATAGGTGCATCAAAATAAAATGCGACTGCGCCTCGATTGGTGATAACGCTAGATTTGCTATTCCTTAAACTTGGTAGTACTGTACCTATTTCATAATACTTCATAAGAAATTTAAAGGTTCTTTATCGAGTAATTTACTATGCTTGCTACGGAGTTAACCAAAGTGTAATGATAAGCGAAAATTTGACACTTATAATATCCATCGTCAGATACACTTTTATAGGCGATATTAAAACTTTATAGTTGCCGTGGGCGCTAATTATGATATAAACCACATTTTTATGGGCGATACTAGATGACTTTCCATGTCTCTGACTCTACTTATTATGTACAAAATCACGAGAATATTTCAATCTTTCGAATCACGAAATATTTTATGTAAAAAAGTTTTAGAAAAATTGTTGAAAAAATTGTGGTTTGAAAATTGATATTAACAGAAGTATGATCGGTAACTTTGTAAAACTTTATTATAAAGAATTTCGTCTACGATAATCATTCTAAGTGTGCATCTTTAGGATTTTTATTATGTAGTTTTACAATATTTGATGTGTTCTGTTTGCATTTTTTCTATATCGGAAGACGAATCCACTTTTCAGCAAGTTTTGACATCTATGAGAGTTCTATACTTTTCCTATTAAGATGTTAGTCGATTTTAGCCAATTTCAGACCTCTAGATTTCGTTTATGAACTATAGCCTTATGTGAATCAATTTTCACAAATTTTCTGATGTTGAGAAAGAAAAATCAAATCATGTAATGCAAAACACACCAAGAAAACAAATTTACAAATTATAGGTTTTCATTTGGCACCGCCTCATACTTGACCCAACCTCATGTTAACCTTCACATTTATTACCATCTCTATATAAATAACCAGCTTAGCATATGTAACATTTACTAAAGGCAGAAATTATGCAAAAGGCAGAATAGTAAATCGGAGATTACTTCTAATGTTCATTTGTTTGGTTAATTCGAAGATGTGACTCATAAAATTTGAGCAACTATAGAAAGTATAACATTCTGATTACTATGATGAAAAATAACATTAAAAATTTTATTTTCAGAACGAAATTTTTACATACCTTTTGAGGACATCGTTGATGAACTTTGTTACAATGATGAAGTGTTCTGATTCCATCAATCCTGAAAGAAAAATTTATCAGATATCTTTCATTCCTAGCACAAATCTCAATCACATCAACAAACTATATGCATTGATTAGAAAAACTTACCATTTTAGAACACACATAAGATCCCCACTACCAGGGTCAATTTTGATATCAATAACTGTCGCATAATTCTCCCAATTCTTTTCTGCTCTGAAATTAATTTGTTCATGAGCACATTGTGGTTCTTGTGTAATATCTTTATCAAAGTTTTTTTGTTGCAATTGAGCGTCAATAGGTTTCACATCAAGAACAATCTCTACCAAATTCAGTGGATCATCTTCGGAAACAATAATATATGAATTGTCATCTTCGACATCATTAACTTTTGTAGTATCTTTATCTGTTTTCACATTCTTATTAAAACTAGTAGTTTCAATCTCAACCACAGTATTGAGGTTATCACTTTTTGAAGAGATACTATTTGTGTTCATAAAATTGTCTTCATCCGTATTATCAAAAGTCTCATTAAATGAGCAGTTAGCATTACTATCGTCTGAAGAGATGTCATTGTTTGAATTTACGTTGCTTATTTTATCAACCTTACTCAAACACATTGGAGTCGTGTCATCATAAGAGATATTAGCTTGACTATTATTTTTCGTTTTATTTCTCAACCGTTTAGAATTAATTTGAGCTTGATCTTGATTATCCTTGATATCCGAACTGATTTCTTTATTTGATTGATTATTTTTAACACTTTGTTTGGACGATTGTGCAGATGATTTCATCTTTTGGTCATTCCAATAACGGGTAACAAAATATGGTGCAAACCTTTAAGTTTAGACGTGTTAGTAAAGGTAATGATTGAGTAAATCAATAAAATGAAGTTTGATCGATTCATACACATCAGTAGCGTTTACCCAACACGATTCACTTTCATCATAACCAGCCCATTTTACTTTGTATTGAAGATGTCCCTGCAGGAAAATGAAAATGAAAACGCGAAAAAATATGATTAATAAAAATAAAAGTTAATGAATAAATAAAACAAAAAGCATACATTTGTTGATAATCTATGTGCTAATATGTTTTCAACCGTATAAATTCCTTCCTCGTTATCGTCATCACGCCGCGCTTTGTTCAAACTACTATTTTGATTATCTCTTTTAACTCTTTTGGAACTTCCGGTACGCGCCATAACAGAAAAGAATTAAATTTATTTATTTTTTTTTTTTTTGCTTTTTTGGGTGAGAAAGAGAAGTGTATTCTGTTTCAAAATTGCCATGAGTTTATAAATAATCGAGTAATGCTGTGTATGACCAATTACATGGCCGATCAGCAATCTAGTTTACAAATGCAATGATAGCAATAGATCTAAAATCTAATGACATCTACGACTAATTAATCAGAAATTAATAGTTAACGTTTATTACGTATTTTGTTATCAAGGATTAATAAATAAGAATATTGTTAAATTTGGAACCTTTTTTATTGTAATAAATAAATAAATAAATAATATATATATACTAATAATGTGTATTACACAAACATGAGCTAATATTTTAGCAACCACTAAATATCTTCATATGTCACTAATCTTGTTCAGGGTCAATAAGAATTTTACTCTTACCACCACCGGCAACAATTTTCACCCTTGTATTCATATCAAAAGGATTTCCATCATACGCTATAAAATTTGCAATGTTGCCTTTCATTAACCTTCTATCTCTCGTATTTAAACCAAGAATTTCTTCCAAAGTCCATGAAATAAATCCAAATGAATCTTTTTCTGAAATCAATCCTCTAGAATTTATATGTGCCCAGCCAGCATCCCATATTAAATTTCTTTCCAAACCTGCTATTGCCACACCTATTCCTATCTTAACTCCATTCGCATAAAGAATATCAATTCCAGTTGTATTGGTAATAGGTGCCCCTGTTAACACATGTTGAGCTGTCCAAAACTTTGGAATAGCTCGGAGCGGGATAAGTATTACGGGTATTTTATGTTCAGCCAATTCAGCGGCAAGAATATAAGCTTCAGCACCACCCAGTATCACAAGGTTTAAATGTCCACCATTATTCTCAACTTGAATTTTCAATCGGATCAAAGAAGCAATTTCATCTTTGCTATGAGTATTTACTACTAAGGGGATCTCCCCACGTGCAGCACGACCAAAAATATTATCTTGCTTTAGATTCTTTATCAAGGTTTTTCTAATCAAAGCAATCTGACCTGAAACTGTCGGTATAGTGGCTGTTCATTAAAAGATAATCTCATGAATAAATGAAATAAATAACAAAATTGAACATATGTATAATTAATGAATTTTTATTACTAGATTTGAATATAGTTCCTATCTGTGCGTGAAGTGCTACATTTTCCTTAACAATTGGCTGAGGATCATAATCTAGAACTTATTAAAGAAATAAAACATCTAGTCAGTGCTTGCTGGTAATCACAAAGACGATATTCCTAAAGTATTATACCAGTGTTAGCACCAGTTTCAAATGCCATAGAAACTCCAGTAAGCCCGCCTTTAGACGAGAGAGGCGCAGTGACAGCAGTAAATACTCCAGCCTTATGCGCGACCTCTAAATGTTTGCCTCCCAATTTCAATCCATCGATGGCATAGATAATTTCTTCAGCATTGTTAGGATTGGATACAGGTGTCACTTCACCATCTGTTGTGGTGGGTTCTCTAGGGAACACTGATAGTCCTAGAGATGGCGCAACAGCTGTAAATCCCTTAAATTTGATTATATTAAATTTTTTTTATAATAATAACTACTAATTCTGCAAAATGCAATTTTAAATACTTTTTTTTTTTTTTAACTTACTGGTAATACATATCCACCATTTAAATCTATTACTTCATACGATGAAATATGATCTGGTTGTGTACAATTAATACCAATACATTCGACAATACCATCTTTAACTATTAAGCTAATATCTCCTTGTGTGGATAAAGTGGCATCAATTGTTTGATTCCCATCAACGTAAATCTTGCTAACATTTTTTAACATAATTGAGGTGGCTAATCGTGATTTAACAGACTTCCGCGTAAAATTTGACTTTGACATAGATGCATTTCTATTATTTGATGGGATTGGTTTTGATATATCATTTTCAAGTACACGTAAGGAAGTGTTGAATTGAGGAATTCCATCTATATAAACTTCTAATGGAGTTGCACCTAACTCCAATGGATGAGAATCCCAAACCTAATTATTAAATAATCGTAAATAAACATATTATTTCTATAAAACCCAATCCACATTGCATATTCATTTGTTTATTATTACCACAACATCAGCATCATATTCCTTTGAAATTTGACCAATGCGATGATCTAAACCAAGGGCTTTTGCGGGTACTGATGTAACAGCTGCAAGAGAAAGATGTTCATCAAGACCATAATAATGTGCCTTGGAAGCTTCAAACATCAAAGCTTGCTAGTTAACATATAATATGTAAATATTTCATTTTGTTTAATTTCACGTAAAATAATAATGATAATTCACCGCATTTATTGCAGGATGATCCGATTTTAATGCTACGGGAATGTGTGCATCGGCTAAAATTTTCGGAGCCTTTGTACTAGCTTGAAATGTTTCCTTCTTGAAGCCCCAAAGGTCAGAGAATGTTGCAACAGTAATGTTATTTTTTACCCGTTTTTTAATAATATCAGGAATACGATAAGCATCTAGCGCATGATGTAAAGCTGTAATATTAAAATTAAATTCCAAAGAATGTCGAATGATTGCTTCTATATCATAGGTCTGCATAAAGTATCATATTAGAGGCTTTAAATATTGTTTTGAAACTTTGCAATAACGACAAACCTCATAACAGTGGACATTCAATCTCGCATCGCCCCTTAATAATGCAACCAAACTATCGAGTCGGAGTTCCTCCGGAAAATATGAATTCAACTGCCCGGTGATACCCAATTTGCTTGCAGCTTCACACCAATCATCTTGTCTCTGCTTCAACGCTTGTGCCTCAGCAAAGTGTTTACGGAAGAGCCATGCTTCTCCCATCCGTGTAAAAGGCATGCGTCCGGTAAGAATAGCGTAGGTCCACTTTATTTGGTAAGAAATTAAACATGTCGAATTATTAAATCTGGTAACATAAACAAATGTTATTACATACCTTTATATTTTCACCACAAGCCATTTTTAGCCAACGCCAAACTCTCTCTTTTTCAGGATCAATATTTGCATAAATCCCCATATCATCCACTGACAAGGTATCGACGGGTCGCATTTTAATAACGAAACCTTCACCACCCATCAAGTTAGAGCTACCAGGCAGAACTATATCAAACGTCGAACACTAAATTAGATATTGGTCATTATGGTCCATAAACTAATTCGTAGTTTCTACGTTGACCCAACTAATGGTTTCTCTTGTAGAAAGATGTGTTTATCTTTAAACAATTCCAAAATATAATGCATTTTTACGCGTCATATCATATAAATGTCAGGTAAGTAATCCTTCTTACCCAACGAAGTTGTAACACCTCCGGATGCGATAATTCTAATTGCTGAAGTGATCATAAATTTATGTGAGTATCGCAGGTTACAACCAGTTAATTCAATTCATGTTGATTTTACCGACCTGGATCACTTGGATTGATGGCATCCCGAGCGCGAAGCTAAAAATGGAAAAACCCTATTAGAGAGGTTTGATTCCAATGTCAAATTAAAATTACTGAATACTAACGAAAGACGTGATCGGATTGGAATCTTCGTTCATGTCAACAGTAGCAGTCAAATATGGCCAAGAGATGACACCGGCATGACTAGAAATTATTTCAGGCTATAAACAAGTCATAAATAAACAATAAACAAATATTTATTTTTATTTTATTTTTTTACCTATGCATATCAACGAGTCCCGGTGTAATAAATTTTTCCTTCACATCAATTATAGTAGCATCTTCATCATTGAGATTCGGTCCAATATCATGAATTAACCCATTTTTTAAGATGATATCACCTAAAATACAATCTCCTTTTCCGGTTAAGATCTTTCCATTTTTCAAGATAATGGTTTTTGTTCCTGGAACGAATCTAGGATTACTTGTTCGTTCAAACTTATTATTAGGTTTTGCACGGTTTATCATATTACATTTATTAACACCATAATTGTACGATTCTTGAGATATTCCGACAGAATGCTGAGCATATTGATTGGGAACCGAGTGAATATCATATTGATTGGGAACCGAGTGAATATCATATAGTATAAGCAAAATAGTAAATAATCCACCGATTAAAATGGTTTGGAAAAGCTTCTTTGGTCTCAAAGCGTAAAATAGTGAATTAGATGGATTAAATTTTCCAACATATTCATTTAGTTGGATATATTCTTTAAACCTTTTCGACATCCTTGTTTTTTCCTGAATGACAAAATAAGATATTTCACACGAAATTTATAGAGATCATAGATTACACAATGATATGCGTACAGCATTCCAATTTTCTTGAATTTTTTAAACAAGTATTTCTATTCAAAGTAAAATTGACAATGGAACAATTCTTCTTAATACAGTAATATTAAGAATATTATATTTCTTATGTCTGGAAACGATTCTACAAATTGCCTAGATTCTCGGCTTCTACATAAATTGTTATAATATCAAGTCCCAAATCACGAAGCGTAATAGAAATTCAGTTTGATTGGTTGTTCATTTTGATAATCGGGTTGAAAATGATCGGTTTGTGTATTATGTGAAACTCTTCTGAAGATTAGAAAACGATAATCAATTCTTATCAAATATTTGCATTACAAAACAATTTTATTCTTTTTTATGCATGTGAAGATACACGACTATCACTGGTTTGCATGTAACTGCGTAATGATGTCATGATGTCACCTAGTGACTGGACTGGTAACTCGCGAATTAAATTCCGAAGAGTGCTCGAATCATTCGAATAATAATATTTTTCGAGTTATTCGAGTCACAACAATTAATTTATGAGTTACAAAAGCAAATATACTTCGAATAAGAGTTACGCAAAGCAAATATAATTCAAATTACCACGGATTATAAGTTATGAAAATAAGTAGCATATTAATTATTTGTCAACTTGAAATAATGTATCTAGCAAATTCATGTTTCTTTGTAAAAATAACACCTCACCCACCAATTCTGGATCAAGATTTTTGTTTTTGCTGTAATATAGTATTTGACTAATTTCTTCAGCATAGGATTCCTCTTGTTTATTATTCTTTAGTTTTGCGATATATTTGTATAGTCTTAAAAGTTATTTTTTTTTATAATTCGGCAATCCTGCCTCTGTTTATTTGAGATTAAGCTATTCAAGAATTATACATTTCTATCTGTAGCTATTACTAATCTAACCAAACGAGAGACTCACCCTTGGCTTTTTGCCCAGGTGTGACCTGCCTCAGTAGTCCTTGGTCTCCCTTCAGATTCTTAACTTACTAAGGATTTATTTTTCTTCAGTCACAGGCTGGTGACTACCTGCCTTGTCAGTACTGCCATTTATATTCATTTTAATTTTGCAATTCATCCATGAAGACCAATTTGGTTTCTTATCACCTCATATTAGATTTTCCATGTTTCTAAATGCTGCAATTTTTGTATGTTCTCTCTTTTTGTTTTTCTGCTCTTCTGTTTGCTCTTGATTTTCTTTATTTTCTTGATCTTCTTTATTTTTTTTTTCTTTTTTACTGCATTTTTTTGTCTTCTTGTTCTTCTTTGCAATTCCTTCTCTTTTTTTCTATTTGATTTGTAGCTTACATCTAAAGTTCCAGATGTGCTGATAGAAATTTTTACCAAGCTTGTTGAGTATTACACTTATTACTTTGCTGGCTGTTTTTTCATTTTGAAGCATATCTTCTATTTTTTGTTTTTGTTCTCTTTTAATTAGGTCTCTAATTATATGGATTCTTGTTTTTATTCATTCTACATTTATTATACTGAATATGTTTTCTTTTATTGTAGCTTTAGTTGATATTTTTTTAGTAAGTTTTTTCTTTCTTATGATTTTTTCTATTTCATCACATGTTTCTTTTTTTATTATGCTCTGTATTCTTTATAGCTTGTTAAGTAATCTATTGTTTTTAGTTTTTTTTGGCAAGTGATACACTTGTTGATTTTGTACAAATCTGGTCTTCTTGTTTTCAGCTTAGACATTGTTGCCAGTATTTCATTTAACATTTGACTCTAAATATTTATCTATTATTCATTTTACTATCTAAACATTTGTTATTTGTAATCTCTTCTATATACTTTTATATTTTTCTCTAATCTAAACTATCTTTTATTTCCTTCTTTACCCATCTTTTCATTCTGCTTAATTCTGTCTATTTTGCATCTAATATCGGTATTATGATTAAGTTTACAAAACTTCTAATAAGCTTATCCACTATTATTTCTTTTTATCTAGGTATTACATGTATTAACTTTGTTCATAGTAGCTGTACTTTGATAATCTTGTTTGATCTTGCTCCTTCTTTTGTTAGCTTATCCACTTCTTCATTTTCTTCTACTCTGCTATGTCTTTTTACTTTGTACAATTTGAATTTCAGTCATTTTTTTTTTTTATATGCTCTATTTGTTCCAAAATACTTCCATTCTTCATTTTAAGATAACTGTATATTTTTTTTATTTCTGCTATTTTTTGAACTGCTTGAATCATTGCCTGGCTGTCTGTATATATCTTTATATAGGTCTCTTCTGGTAGAGCTAGAAGCAAAGTCAGAATTGTGCCTAACTCTGCCCTTGTTGATAAAGGATAACCTATCATAACATATTTAAAATTTGCTACTTTTTTTATTAATCTTTTTTCTTACATTTATAAAATCTACTCTATTTCCATTTTGGTTTTATTTGCTGTTTTTTGTAGTTTTAATAGTGAACCATCAGTATATACTTCAAATATTATGTACTTTATAATATTTTCTGATATTGCTGTTAGCTTAGCTACTACTTCTGCTTTGTTTATATAGTTTTGTATTATTTATTAATAACAGAACCTATTCTGATCCCTGTTATTTATTTTTCTACTTTTTTTTTTGCTTCTAATACTTTTTTTTTTTTGATGTTAAGGTGGGATCTTGCCCATGACTTTATTTATTAATAATACTTTCATTATATACATTCCTACATTTTTGTATTATCTATATCAAGTACATCAAGCTCAAACCTGGATCTTATTGGTAACCTATGCTCTGGCCAAAACTATTACTTGCACAATAAGTGTTCCCATTTGCTACCAACCATTGATCCAATTATCTGCGATTCAAACCTACCAAAGTGGCCATCATCATCGACGTACTCACCTGGTATTTTATCACCCTTCACAAGTTCTATTTTGGTACACTTCCCTATGACGTCATTCTCCGCATCTCTTATACCACTTATATTTAAGCTTCCAAATTTGATAGTTCCTTCTGGGATATAGCTTTATAGCCTCAAGGGCTACTTTCAATCTTAGTTATCTTCAGCTAGTCTGTCCAGGTAGTATTATGAAGAGGAACTCATGCTAGCTCAGGTTAAGCCTTATCATTAATACTTAGTTTAGTTAGTATGTTGCCAATTTCTGTTACCTTATAGGTAGGTACTTCTGTGTGTTGGTGCAGGCTTCTATATTGTGTTATAGATTACCCTATAATTTCCAGATTGCGAATTTTATATATGGCTTGTGATTTGTAGTACTTCCAATTTCAGTATTTGGTGTTCTCTTATTAATTTCTGATATACAAGCCCGATTTGTACAATTGCACTATCAGCCTGATAAATCTAGCTATTTCGAGTTTTTACTATATACTCTGAGTTTTAGCCTTCTCGCTCTGTCATCATGGGGTCTTTCCCTAATAGGTCAAGTGGCTTGGGGCCAAAAATGCTTCTGATTCTAGTTGGGCTAATTCTTTTTTACAAATCATCTTTGTGTTCTCTACTTTTCTCACTACTCCAGTTATATTACTGTCATATAACACTTTCAAGCAAGTACCTCACAAGTTGGATGTAGAGATGTTGATGCTGCCTCGGTTACCCCTAATCAAGGACTAATATATGCAACCTTCGTGTAATAGAACCTTTTATAACTCGGTGTCATGTGTAGCACTACTGCTTTACAATTGAATCTTCTTTCAAGAATTCACTTTTCTAGTTTTATACTTGTACTTGGACTTAACCACAGGGCTTCGCATTCGATTATGGCCCCTTTTTGAGTTATATAAATGAAAAATTCTAAGATTTTTGCCTTTAGTCTGACTCAAACTATCGATCTAGTCTGTGGGGGTTTGGCAGCTTAACCACTAAGCTATAGGATCCAAACTCTTTTGCTTCTAATACTGTTTGAGATTTTTTTATTTTTATGATATTTTTCTATAGCACTATTACTCTATACCTTGTTTAATCAGTATTATTGCTTTTTTTGATCCAACTGCTATCTAATGCTCTTCTTATTTTTTTGAACTATTTGTTGTTTTAATATATGCTAGGCTCTTTCTTATTGTTTCTTTCCTCACATCCTTTATATAGTTGTAGAGTTATTTCATTTGATCTAGTTGAGTTATTTCTGACCCAATGCTCTATTTTGTATTTTCTATCTTCTTTCTTCTTTATTATTCTTCTAACTTTAGCCTCTTTATTTTCTTTTTTGTATATGATTCATTCTTACCTTCTTTTATTACTGCTTATTATACTTAGCTTTGCTTCAATCAATTTATGATTCTCTGGTCCTCTGTAGTATTTTGTCTTTATCCTTCTATTGATTTCATTTTCAAGCACTGTTTTTTCTAACTTATAGAACCATTTTGTCTTTTTTTTTGTTATTATAGCTTCTAAGGTTTTTGGTTTGGTTCTAAGTAAGCAGTTTGTTACTTTTTCTATTTAGTAATTGTTCAAGTATAAAGATATTTATTGTTTTTTCTTGTTCAAAACTTGATCTGTTTTTCTTTCTTAATATGTCTGTTATCTCTGTTTTATCTTCTATGACTTCTAAATTTCTTTTTATTTCTATTGACTTAATGTTGATTTCTAATCTCTTTGCTTTTCTGACTATTTGTAATACAGATTGTTTCTAATATCTATTTGCTTTAGCTTCTGCAAACTAAGATCTAAAATGCATTTGCTGCTTTTAAGATTTAGTTATGCTTGCATAATTCTTAATTACATAGCTTTGTCTATATCTTGCTTATTGTTAAGTCTTGCAGATAATTCTGTAATATGATATGTTAATTGGTTTTATAAAATTATCTTTATTCAAATTATGTTTTAGTACACTATAGCTGTATTTGATATTATATATACCATCTTTGCTTTGTTCTTTATTAACATAAAGATTAGACTCTATAGTCTGTTATATACTTCTCTTAGTAAGATATATAGTTGGCTTCTGTATTCTATTCTTA